GAATGTTGGGATGGGACCAAAATCCCGTCTTTGGGAATGGAGGTGTAGAATGTGAGGGTGGACACAAAGATTTTTACTGCAGCCTTTACGGAGGGAATAGAAAAAGGAGCACTTCAATGACCGGTGGAGAGGGGTTGACTACTCCGTGAGCCATCCTCAGCATGAAATATCACAAAGGCTTAAAGGGAGATGATCACAATATTGTTAAGTGAAACTAAATAAGATTGACATGTGTAAGATACGCATAAACATGAAATACGCATAGACTGTCTTCTGGGTAAAGTCAAAGGACTAACCCTCCGCCCCACCCCGTCCTATGTGTCTATGTGCTTCTTTGAATTATAATGGAGAAAATGTGAAAGGAACTTGTAGGGCGTCCACACAGGTTACTTTAAAGGTGCTACTGGATAAAGTGGGGATATCATTAGCATATGACTCCAACTGCGTGTCGGTATGTGTGTTATCTGCATGCTTCACCAAGTGCAATGAGCACCTGGTACTGCTATAATTTAAAATCTACTCATAAAATTGTGAATCAAGCAAAATAAGGATGACGACATTCACCTGCTTCTGGAAACAGCTACTTCGTATGTAGATTAGCGTCGGGGTAGTGCGTTTTGCTAATCTAATCCGGAGTCGACTTTTCCATTCATGGAACCAATGATTTACCTCTTGATATTGCAGCGAATACAAAGGGAAGTCGTGTTTTATTTCGGAAAAGATGTGCTCCATTCTTTGCCTTCCTGTGTCTGCCTGGAGCAGATTTTGATGTCAAGCATTCATTCAGTGTATGCCAATGGTGCTAACCTAACCCAGCTTGTCTTGCGCAAGAGCTTACAGACCGTGCCCTCTCAGAGTGGGGTGGGCAGCAAGATGCCACCAGTCCACCCTCAGATTTACCAACCCTCTCTGTTAAGGATTTACATATTTGCTACTCAAAGCTTGTTCAAAAACATTATGTTTTGCATTGATACTAGGTGGTCTCGCCTAATGCCCTGGAGTTTCGCTCCAATTTCATTAGTTTGATGTAAAGTAGGCCCATTTTACACTCTGAAGAAGAGTAGGTAATATTAGGAAAGGTAAGAGGATTTCAAACCACCATAAAGGTTGGGGATGAGGAAAGGAAAAAAAAAACAAAAACTGGGCTAGTTTGGGGTCAGATAAGAGAATCTATAGGATCAAGTTGTAGTCACATAAAATCTTGAGTGAACATCTTTCTCGTCGTGCTTTTGTGAGTCCTGGGTCGTATTATTAGGATAATTCACTTGGGAAAAAAATATGCAAAAATGCATCTTAAAAAGCAGATAACTTCAGTAGGAATTATTTTCATTACCGACACATTCAGCAGGGTTCCTTTAAAAACCATCTCCCCTACCGCATTTAAGGGTGTTATTTACAGATGATCGGCTATTTGGCGGGGAAGAGGGGCAATTTAAGTTTAAAACATTCAAAACCAGTTAAAGATCCATGAAGAAAAAAAAAAAAATCAAAGGCAAAACTCCAGAGTAATCTTGGCAGTCAGGAGACAGGAAGAATCCTATACACAAAAGTGTAATTTACCCCTTTTTTCAAGAGCACAGGTTTTAAATAAAAATGATAAACACAAACATTTTCAAGTTAAAAAGCAAGCACATCCTAAGAGACTGCTGAAACGTCAGGAAGCCTCAACTTTAAGGAAGATGGGTGAATTCTTAGAGAAAGACAGTCTTTACCCATCAGCTCTCAAAGATAGGCAGCTCTTAGCTCTGTGGGGATCAGGTCTGGAGAGAGGAGAGAGATCCTGGGTGACCATGAATGTACCTCGAGTGTGTGCACGTGTGTGTGTGTGTGTGTGAGAGAGAGAGAGAGAGAGACCCTTTATAAGCTGGCTGAACTAATTAAGGAAATGGGAGATGGTTTTATACAAGTATATATATCTTTTTTGTCTGTTTGTTTGCAATTTTTGGCTGGGGCTGGGTTTGAACCTGCTACCTCTGGCATATGGGGTTGGCGCCCTACTCCTTTGAGCCATAGGCACTGCCCTATATCTTAATCCAGAAGAGAAAACCCTCACTGTATTTTGCAAAGAAGGGAGCTAACTACGAATAGCCTGGACCTAGAAGCCGTAACAAAGGAAGGAAGACTCTGCATGTACCTTAGGGTACGTGGCTAAGCTTTACACCCAGCACCAGTGCAGAGCCTACAGATGGGAGTAATCTGAGGCCCCCCTGGCTACCCAGCTGGGGAAGGCGAGGTCTCAGAGTGGGTCACCATTACAAGACACTAGCTAAGCTTGTCAATCCCAATGCTCTTGCTTAAGAGGTCGACAAGACTCTTACCATAAAAAAATCATTTTTTGTTTTGCCTCTGTATGGGGTAGCAGGATTAGCTAGGAATTTTCTTGAACACTGCTATATTAAAGGGTGTTTATTTTGTTTAATATGACAATAAACCTAAGTTCTCAACAATGGGAGGAGATTAAAATATAATGAAACAACAGAGTGTTACTGGGTCATTAACATATTTTCATAAAGGGCATATGGCATGATAATAAATGAAAATAACAGGATGAAGAATGTGTGTGTAACATGACTGATGATGTAATTTAAAATTAAAGCATGTTGGACACACACTGTACAGTTTCTGTAATTATTATAAATTCGTACTTTAAAACTAGAAAAAAGCATAATTATATATTGTTGAAGTGACACTGCCATTTTATGTCAGAGATGGGCACGCTTTTTCAGTAAGGAACTGGACTGTTAATGTTTTAGGTTTTGTGGCCACCTCTGTCTCTATGATATATTCCTCATTTTTGTTTTAACAATCCTTGTAAAATCTAAGAATGACTCTGAATGTGTAAGCCTCACAGGACAGACCCTGGGGTGGGTCTGGTGATCCCTGCTTTAGATCAGCTCATTTTCTCTGTATGCCTCAGCTGTTTAATTTTGGAGGATGTGTGAATCATTTGCATGTTTGATATGTGAGACAGGCTTTCCCCAAATTATTGTGGAATAGTTGAACCCATTGCAACTAGCACCTTTTTGGGAGCGAATTTGTTTTGTTCACATCTATGAGGAAAACTCAAATAAAATAGGCCATATGACGATATGGGGCCAAATTGTCCAATACGGTAACCTCAGTAATGTAACATTAATGAAACGAAAATATCGTCAGTGCCTTAATCCCATCGGTTCTGTGCTGGACAGAGCAGGTAAAGAAGACGTCGTCCCAGACAGTTCTAGAAGGCAACAGTGTTAGAGAAAAAAATAAAACAAAACTTGGGGACTTAACCGTACGGTGAGTTTTGATACAACAATTCTCCTTCAGAAAATAATATTTACAGAGAACAAGGGAGGGGAGATAAATGAAACAATGATGGGAGTTAGAGTCAAAGGGACCCAGGAAGGCAGCTGTAGGTGGAATAATTTCCCCAGTTCATAAAGCAAATCCACCACATCCTGGCTGCGTGATCCTGGCCAGCTACTTCCTCAGCTGCAACAAACATTATGGTACCTACCTGGTGAGATTTCAAGAGGAATAATCAAGGCTGCCCACGTGAAAATGTGCCCTAACCTTGTAACTTTAGGAGATATGTGCACACACAGGTACATGAGCCCAAATGGGATAATTTCCATAACTTCAGAAAGAACTACTTCCCGCCCGTGTGGTTAGATTCTGGCTTCCCGAGGGCACAGGCATACACCTTGCATTTAATTAACGCCGAAACTATCTCTGAAGATTGTACCCTGCCTGGGAGCAGTATCGGCTGCCGGAAACTCCCCAGGCCTCAGAATTCACAGGTTGGTCATCTCATTCCCTACTTGCCCGCTGAGAACCCTCGCCCCACAGGAAGGAGTTTGGGGTGTTTCAGCTTCACACTTAGGGAATTGGGATGCTAGATTCGGGCACGGTGGTGGAGGATTCTCCCCTGTCTCTCATTCTCTTAACCGCCGTGAGCCTGGTACCTCTGCTCCCCGCCTCCCTCCCTTCTCCAGCTGGTCTCAGAAACACCTGGTCTCCCAGACTCGCCTGTGAGTACTGACCCTAAAGAGTCAGTTCTGGGAATTTCATATGACATACCCAGTGTCTGAAACAGACAGTGAAGCCTTGGGTAAGGCTGGGACACTCTCTCAACAGGATGGAATGAGCTGGAGCTTTCGTTCTACAGTCTGCTCTGGGAATCAGGACAGGGCTGGGTCACGCTCCACCCTGGAGCACCCGTCCCAGGCAGAGGAGACTTGGGTTCTACCCTCTCAACACTGTCATCTACTTGCCTCATTTATTTCTTGTCTCCTTCCTCCAGCTATATGTGCTAAAGTACCCCAATTTTTAATTATTATTATCTTTTTATTATCGTCCCCCATTCCCCCCAGTTAAATGGGGGAGAACTGTAATTTTCTTTCTCCTCCTCCTCTTTGGAATCATACAGCAAACAATTTGAATAGCCCTGAAAACAAGTCACTAGCTGAAGGCGACACAGAGTGTCCATAAAGCTCATGCCCAATTTTAAACGGTACACTATTTTAAATTGCACACGAATTTTAAGGGCAGCCTGAATCTTCAACGGTGTGACATTGTGCAAGAAACTACCAATCAAGCATCTCTGGGTTAGCTACGGGACCTTTTGGAAGGCCTGCGTGTGCCATCGAAATTATTTTTATTTTAACTTGCAAAGCTATGATAAAAAGCTATTGCTATAGTTTCCCGCCCTCCCACCACCCTCCCCTCAACCCCATGCCCACGACCCGTCCACGGGACCCGACCCTGACAGATCTCACGAGGAATGGTTGGGACATCTGGGAGGTGAGTGTTCAGATGTAAATGGGCATGAGCAGAGGGGTTCAGATGCTGAGGCAACAGGGAAACAGACACATGCTTAGGAGAGTCAAGTTCACCTCGTAGAGAGCCACAAGCGAGGGGAGGGCAGAGGGAGGGGAAGAGAACTTACATGGCAGGGAAGGTGACTGGACTCAGATTTATGTCACAAAACAAAAAGAGAGCCACAACAGTGGGCTTACTTGCGGAAGTATATACAAGTGAACTGGGGGCACTGTACATGGAGGATCCCTCCTGGTTTGCCTGGCATAACAGGACCGTGCCTACGAAAGAGAGAGAGAGACGGTATCTGGTTTGGGAACAGCCACACTACACCTGAGAGATCACGGCAATGCAAACAAGAAAGGCAGAGACATGAAAACACAGCCACATCCCAGAGCGCACGAGGGGGACACCCGGGGCAGCCCCCCTCCCAGCCCGCCAAACACATGTCATCATGACTCTTTCCAGTGGATTGAGTAGCAGAGTCGGCTACTCCAGGGCCCTGATTCAGATCAGGACTGGAAACAGCCTGGCATCCTGAAAAGGGAACACTGGGAATATCAGAGAGCCCTAGATGGTAAACCTGACTCAAACACCACTGTGCTGTGTGATCCTGGGACGTCACTGTACCCCTCTGTGCCTCAGCAGTCTCATCTGCAAAACGGGGAAACATACCTACCTCCAAAAAAGGTCGTGAATCCTACAGCTGGAGTCGCACTCAAGGCTGGGACTGGCACGTAATAACCACTCCAGGGTAAGCATATGCGTTGACACATTTAGAGAAAACTTACCCCGACCCCCCATACATACACACTCCAAACTTTAGCCTTTCCAAATTAGTTCTTCAGAGAGGAAAGAAATAAACGCAACTTTGGGCATCTGGGACCCTCGCCGGGTGAGACAGTCTTTGGCTTCTCCATTTCTGGTTTTCCCCCCAACCCTCTCTGCTGCCCAGCTGGAGAGGTTGCCAACTAGTCCTTCTCACATTTACTCCAGTATCCCGAAGCTCTCAGCTAGAGAACAGCCACCCCTGACCTCTGGAAATACCCCTGGACACAAGAGTGAAATTAGCTGACCTTCTCTGGGGAGTAAACACATGCAGGGTCTGAATGGGCCTCAGTCAGGATCAACTTTTGCTACACTGATGGTTCTTTTTCTTCCTCATTTAAAAGCAGCTTAACAGCATATAAGGTGAGCCTTCAAACGGTCTAATTTCTTCTCAGCAGGTATTTTTAGTTTCAGAAGGTAACTGGCATAGTATTAGACACGAATACCAAACAAGCCAAACTCCAGGTGATGGAGGTTGGCATCTAAAAATCAGCCAATTGGCGGCAAGCTACCCACTGTAAATGATACTCAGTAATCCTGCAGTAGGTATTCTTGACTAATAAATACACTATGTGATGTTGCAGAAGCCATTCATATGATTTCGCTCATTGCTGGAAATCTTAGAGAGAAATTAATATTCTGATAGAATCTACAGACAGCGACCAAATCTGAATCTTCTAGAGTGGGACCCCAGCAGGCAGACTTTCAGAAAGCTCCCTACCTGTACTCTCTTGAATACTCCTAGTTAAAAACCACTTTTAAAGTAAGATCTGACATTTCTTGGGGTACTTTAGGTTT